CCCATTTAAGAAAATCTTTGCCAACCCAAAGACACTAAGATTTTCTTCTATATTTCCTTGTATAAGGTTAAAAAATGTTCTCTCTTGAATTTTTATCTACAATACATTTTCGTTAATTTAGTATTGATTCAAAGAAGAGCACACTGACTCCTCCAACCTTCCCTTCTCAACCCAAGCGCTTAGACAGTTGTTCCTGGTTATTTTACTTTGCTATTCTACATTGTTCTCCGTGTGTTTGAAGGGTTTTCTGCTATGTGGTTGAATTAAAAAAGATTTTTACACCACTACACTTTATAGACTCGTGGAGTTTTCCAAAGAATTGCAAGATGCTAGATGATTGGGGCCTCCTTGAATGCTGTATGGGAAGCACCGTATGCCTTCTTTATCTCCGGTTCCCCTTTTCTCACAGTAGGTCCAGACATGGTCACTGTATCTCAGGCTGGATTTTGAGGGCTTGAAAGATTTAATAGCTGCTCTTCAGAGAATGCTTTCTTTTAAATCTCTCACAGAGAGAGTTTCTCCTACAAAGACAAAAAGCAAAAAAGTTGTGATATCGTTGATGTGTAGATTCAAAATTTTCCTCTAACCCAGTCTTTCAGTATCATCTCTAATGGCTGATCTGCTTCTGAATGTCTGGAAAAATCAGATCATCATCTACCACATTTAACCTTCAAGACTGTGTTTTCCTGTTAATTGAGCATAATGTCACAGTCTTCATATTTTTATTCAAAATGTTTCAATGAATTTGTTTCAGGTTCTTCATAATTTGGTCTTGAACTCTTCATCAGACCCTTTAACATTCCATCTCTGAACACAAATTTGGAGATGTTTACTTGTTACACATTGTGCTTCATGAAACACTTTGACTTTTCTTGTCATTTTGACATTGATTTATCAGAATGAACTTCGTGCGAGGACACACTTATGAAGGAATTGTTCTATTCTGGCAGCAAATTATTTTCATTAGGTTTTTTCAGTTTGGGGACCCAGTGCATTCATTTTAAAAGTGGTAGTAGCTTTGTCATTAATTACACCTTTGATAAAGAAACATATAAAGAATACAATTGTTTGACAACCTCAATAATAATAATAATAATAATAATAATAATAATAATAATAATACGGTAATAGCAATGCTGTGCTGGCCACTGGGTCTGGACATTTTCCTGTTGAAGACCAGTGCCCCTCATTATATTAGCTGCTTACATCGAGAGACCAGCAACCTGGTTCAGAAATAATATTTATCTTTTAATGTTTCCAAGCAGTGCGATAAACAGCATGGAATAAAGGCTTATTGATATATTTGCTCAGTCTCACTTTTTACTCAACTGTAGTTCTGAGAAATCCATCTTGTTACTTATGATATCATTTGCCCTTAATATAAAGCCAGCATATGCTAAAAAGCAACCTAACATTAGCCAAAGGTAAACCCAGTATTCCTTTGATCACAGTTGTTCACTATAAGAAGTTATCAGAAAATATTTCTCCCCATGTTTATCTTAACGGTCTCCTTTCTTTATGGACGCAAATAAATGTGTGTGGTCATTTTCCCTAGGGTTGGAAATAATATATTTTTTAGTACTTAAGAAACTAGACATAAAACTGTATTCAGAAAACAGGACAAGCTCACAGGGTGGAAATTGGCCTGTGGTGGCAGAAATTAACAGAAATGAAGGAGCCAGTTCATCAATAGCCTGAAAGACTAGAAGGAGATGGTGGACGCTCCTACAATTGCCTATCACCCTCCTTGTCAAACACTGATCTTTGTGATAGTGGACACCAGTCAGCCAGGATGGCTGGAAGTCAGTCCTCCTGTGTCTGTAGGTCATAACTTCTCATTCTGCTGCTGCCCTTCCCCAGCCAAATTCTCGTCATCTCAGCCTTCTCCCAACTGGTGTCCATCATCCACTTTTTCTTTTAACTGAGGAAATTAGTTTGCAGCACTGATGTAAGAACATGGTGCACACTTCCTCAAATACATGTCACCACACCATGTCGATCCACTCTGCCTTCATTGGTCCTTCCTCTAGAGTGCTAGTCTTGAAATGCAAGCGCTTATCCAGACTGCCTCCCCTTTAACTCTCCGCGGTGGCTTGTCATTCTGTTGCGGTAAAACCCAGTTTGTACATCCACAGACTGGCCACTCCCTTTCTCCCCACTGATGTGCTGTGTGCTGGCTTCTAAAACATCTCCATCTCTGTTGCCACTGCCCTGGTCCCAACCAAAATCTTTCTAGGACTATGGTACGCCTGTTCCCCCAGGCTAGTTTCACCTAGCCTGTTGATCAATTTGAAGTCACATGCTCATTTTACTAAACAAACTTGATCTCAAGACTACTCCCCTGCACCCAGCCCATCCAATGTCTTCCCATTGCCCCAGGGTAAAGTCTAAGTTATTTAACAAGATCCTATCCTCCACAGCCTGGGTCCTCCCTCCTCCTCAGTCTCCTCTGACAGGTGGTGTACTGGCTCCCTGGGACTGGTGTTAGTTCTGGAATGTGTCCTGCTGCCTCTGACTTCCATCTCACAGATACCATTCCTCCTCCTAGAAAACCCTTTCCACCTGCTCTCCCCTACAGTTCTTGGGGGTACTTCCTACCTTTATTCTAGTCTCACTTTAGCTGTTACTCACTCAGATGGACTTTCCTGGTAGCTTAGGTCAAGTCAGGCCCCCCTGCTACAGAGCCCTGCCCTTTCCCACACATACCACAGCTCACAACAAACACACTGCATGTTCATGAAAAACAAAGAGAGGAGAGGAGGAACGAGGAAGGGGAGCCAGGTAGGAACATGACTAGCACCTTCTTCTCGCTAAAGGGAGAAGAGCTGACATACCCTAGCTCTCCAGCCTGATTCCCTGGGTAGGACTCTGTCTCATTTTGTGTTGTGGCCTCAGTACATGACAAAGAGCAGGTGTGCAGTGGGAGTTATTGAATGAATGAGTTTTTTTTTTAAGAATTTCTTGGCCCAGATGGTAACCAGCTAGCCAACTAGAGAACTACTAGGTTTATAAGAATCCTTGAACAAACACCCAATTTTTGGAGTACATATGCATGTATAAATATATATACCTTTCATAAATAGATCTGAAAACACCAATAAAAATTAAAACCTACCAAAAAAAAAAAAAACAATGAAAAAATTCTGACCGAAGACCCCTATTGTAACTACTGGCCAAATCCGATTGGGTTATGAATTTTCAACTGGCGGTCTGTTGTTCAAATGTGAGGAAACTGTGACACAATACTTAAAGAAAATGTAGTCCTTAAAGTCACAGAAACAAGGAAAGAAAACACAATTCATCATTGGACTGAATTGTGGATTTTGGCTTCACCGTCTAGCAGGTGGCACGGAAGAGCCTGAGTTATAGCTGAGCTCCCCGCTCCCTGAATGCTTGCTTCTGGAAATGCAGTCAGCCTCTCCACTTGATTTCTTTCCTATAAAGTAGGGACAATGAGAACTGTCTTGCAGGGTTGTTTTGAAGACTGACTACAACATGTAAAGCACCTGGCAGTGCCCTGGCCTGACCAGCTGTCCAGGGAAGGCATTGTTCAAAAGCATTCCTGCTTTCAATTATTTAAGAGGCTGGTGGCTGAGCTCAGAATACAGGGAGCTCCTGAAATACTGTCTCCCAGTGGGAAGAAACGCTGTTTCTTTGCTGTCAGTGCCCTACAACAGTGAGGAGAACAGCGGCAGAGATAGGTAAACCACAGTAATGGAGGGGCATGAGAAATAGAAATGGGAGGATTTCATTCTCGCTGGATCTTGAGTCATGCTGAGGGGCAAAGCTTTCTTTTCGTGTCCTCTTTCCTGTCCCGGTTTTCCTGAGAAGGCTGCGCCCCAGTAGGCCAAGGAAAGGGTGTGGCTTACCCAGTCTGCTCCTTCATCTCTCCTGTACATTTTTTAAAGATGGAATTCATATTCAGGTATTTATAACACATTTTTGTCTTACTTCAAAGGCAAGATGTTCATTTTGGAAAGTCCATACTCGCAAAAGGAAGAAAAAGAGTGAAACCACATTGTACTGCTAGATATCAACTAAAAACACTCAGGGTTGTTGTTTGAAAGTCTTTTCTAGGGATAAGTACCTGATGCTTGTGTACAGCAAGAAAGACTGAATGGTAGATTCTGTTCTAAAACCTGATCTTTCTCACTGAACTGCCTTCTTGACAGTAAATGAGTGGATCCAGTGTCGAGACGGGTGACATCAGTGGAGGTCAGGGTGACTGGCCACAGACACTCGTTCTGCCTCCTCAGCAAAGCCTCTGAGATGCTGTTTCTCCTCCATGTTCAGCATTTCTCTGAACAACTTTGTAGGACCCACCATTGTTCCCATATAGTGAATTTTCACTTTCAGTCTTAATTTTCTCAAAAACCAAAACCAAAATCAATAGGACAATGTGATTAAAATATTTAAGTCAGTTCAATCCTCTTTGGTGGGAAGAAGCTGTCATTCAGCTTTATGCTTTTTATTTCTGATTCTGTTCAACTTCTCAATTTATCTGAAGTGCATCTTCATTTCTAGTCAACAAACTTAAAAATAAACAAGTCATAGTACCTGTCCTTAATGAAATGATTACCTAGTAGCACAGATAAGAGACACCATAGCTAGCTAATCAGTTATTGTCTCTCCCAATTCACACACAAGTTCCTGACTTTCCACCATGCAAAGCAAGGACAATCTGGCTAATAATAGCTAATGTTTAATGAGCACTTACCATGTCTAGGAACTGTTAATATACGAAGTGGTGTGCTGTTAAATGATATCATCCCTTAATTCTCACAGCCTAGGAAGGAGGTGCCAAGGTAAAGACTATTTTATTGTGGTGGAAGTTGAGATCAGGGGGGTTCAGTGACTTGCCCAAGGCCACTCGGCTAGTAAATGAGGAGTGGGGATTCAGTGAGAGGCTCTTTGAAGCTGCCACGCTCTACTGCTGCAACAGACACTGGACTGGGAGAGAATGTGGTCACTGGGATAAGCTGTGTGACTTCCCCTTCTAGGTACTGTGGCCTGAAAACCAACCTGAGAACATCCTTCCTGGTGGGATTCATGGTGACCAATCAGTGCACCTTCCACACACCTGTTGGCTTTCCTCAGGTCCCACTGGCTGCTCTGGCTGTTGAGAAAGTGGGCCATTCCAGCGTGCACTACCGTGTTGCTCTGTTCCCGCCTAAGCTCACCACAGAACTGCCTTCTGTCGACCACAGGGACCTCAGTGATGGCTTTTTCTCTGGTCACCCCAAGCTCTCACAGTTTGACAGCCTGGCCTGTACCACGGGGTCTTCAGTCCACGTCTTTGTGAATCCAGCCACGAACAAGCCGGTGAGCCTTCCGGAAGACTTCCGAAGGAGCCTCCTGAAGCTGATGAGCCCAGCATCTGTGTGAATGAGTGTGGAGCTGCGCCGGGCAGAAAATAAAGTCCACGTGGTTCATTAAACAATTTCCTAGCACGTAGTTTTACTCTTAAAGTGGTTGTCAATTTCTTAAAAATTTCCACGACAGTCATCTAGTTCCCTTGACCAAGCCCCCCAGCAACAGGCCCTGGCCAGTCCTTTATACCCCTGTGACACAAGCTATGCAACGTCTATCATCTGACAGAGTCCGGGTAGATTGGGAAAAGCTCTGAAAAATCAGACTTTCCACTGCTAACTTATGTTATGACCTCCCTTTTTGGTATAATCGTAATATCAAAATATTCTGAGCAAATTTCAGCTTACAATTGGATTGCCTCAGCCACATAAGGCCTGTCTGCCCTGACAAGCAAGCACTGCACCAGGGTGAAAAATTCCCCTGAAGTCAAGTGACTTGACTACTGACTGATAAATAAACGCAAAAGGGCTGTTTTTGCAAAATCTCTCTCACTGCCAGATGGGTGGAGGAAAACCCAAATCTTATCATTCTATTATCTCACCTAGCCTTCTGGTAATTCTAAAGAATTACTCAAACTTCCTATTGTCTGGCCTTTAGATGTGGAAATTCATCCAGGTTGCCTGTTTTTGAAACTAGTCAAGTTTTCTACCTGCTACACCTTAAAGAAATCCACAAAAGTCTCTGGCTAGTCTTTCAGGATTCTACTGTGTAGTCTTCAGATAAGGAAATCCACCTATGTCTCCTATTCAGAGATTTGATTAGCAAGGAATTTCCTCTTCTGTCTCCCAGGATGACTCAGGCAGAAAAACAAAAACCCATTAAGTAATAGATAAGGCTTAAGGGACTTCTATCTTAGTTGATCTCCACTATAGTAATATTAGTCATAAACTTTGTGCACTTATGTACCCGTTTTTAACCTTAATTGATTTTAGAATGTTATATCTCAGCTAAAGGGCAATACGACCCTAAACTGTTGCTAGAAAAAAAAAAAAAAAAAAGATGATTGTAATCTCTCAGCCCAGTTCATGTGCTGATGTCATCCCACTGCTTGCTCCTAATGTATAAAATAAACCTCTGCTGAAGGCAGAGCAGGAAGACTTGCACCCAACTCCAACTCCCGAGTCTTCCTCGCCCCCTTTCCCCTTTTTCTCCTTCTCCCCTTTTTAGGAATCTCTGCTCGCCTACGCCTTCCCACCTTAGGGTCCTGCCTGTCTTGCCTCCAGGCACCTCAATAGTTGGAGCTGGTCTCCAACACCCCTGGTGTCCCTGTGCCACACAGCCACCAGAGAGGCAGGCAGTGCTCTTAGCTCAGAAGGAGAGTGAGAGGTACTCTGGTGCAGAGAGGAAATTCGGCCTAGATGCCACAGCCACAGCCCATGTGACTTGGGTGTGAACTTGGGCATGTTCTCCACGGACATCTTTCTTTATCGCCAGTAGCTTAGCCACAGGACCACACGCTTCCCAGGGCTTGGGATCATTAATCTGCTGTGACTTATTATGTGTCCTCAGCTTCTTACCCTTAAGAAGCACGTGAACTTTTTTTGTTAAAGAGGTGAGCTTTTGTGCTGAAAAGCATCTCTTTTTATGCTCTGCAAATAACCAACCAATCTTTGGCAATTTTCTCCTAAATTCATAACTTCTGTCAGTCACTACTGCCATGAATTAAAGTCTAAAAGCATTCCTGTTAAGTAAAAACTTTGATTGTGAAATACACAAGGACCTTACTTTGGTGTGATGACAGAAATGGTAACTCTTTACTCAGGACTGAGGATGTAAAGCACTCAACAGTGGTTACCTTGGTCCCATCACTCTTTTCTACAGTAGGTGATGTTGCCATTTTTCAGACAAGAGCACTGAGGCAATAAAGGGAAGGGTTGGAGTTGGAGAAAAGTCTGGTTTTATCTTTGCCTCAAATCTGTGCCCAATAAGACTGCATCTGGGCCTCAGTTTTCTCCTTGGAAACATGATCCCAAGTTGGATCTGTGAATGTTTGTTGAATATACAGAGTCTCTCCGATTTGCTTTTGAATTGAGTTCCAAATGTCTGCTCAATATAAATAGCTTTGGAATTCCCTCACCAAGATTCAAACAATTCTGGATACTATGCCTTTGTCACTTAACCCATTCAATTTCACCTGGTAATAGATCACTTTTTAAAAAATCACTTTACACAATCATTCTAAAGACTGTTGATCAGAGACTTGGCATTTGCAAGTATTCATCTAACTGACCTCTGGCATTCGACCTGCTCAAAAAGCTCAACCGGGAGAAAGCCTTTTATTTGGGCCACAGTTATTTTCCTCACTGTTTGTTCACATGAATTACCTTACCTTATGTTTGTCATTCCTCTGGCAATTGGTTATTATCATCATCATCTCCATTGTAGTGAGAACAGGCTGTCCAGAAGGAAGGTGACGACTGACATCCTGGAACTCCATACCAGCAGGGTTGAAATCCAGACAGGCCTCTGGACCTGGTCCTGAATATCCAATTCACTGGTACCAGTTTTTTAAGATGGTAGTAATACTAACAGTGGTTACCCCAAGAGGCTTTTAAATTGGAGGCAACATAGTGAAATAGCTGAGAGGGTATATCCTCCATTCGAGGCCTGGATTTGTATCCTGGATCTGTCATTTTAATATAGGGGAACCTGGGCCCTCCTTAGTAGTGCAGCAGGTTGGGGCACAGCACTATAAAATAGGGGAACCACCTATTTCATTTTGCCCAGGACAGACCTGTTTTTCTCAGCTTCATGACAGTCTGGCCTTTAAAACTTGTGGCCTCTGCAGTGACAGTAAAAATGGGAAATTGTCCCCTTAGGTCACTCCTCTTCCTACTAAGGTCCCTGGATGTGTGTGTGTGTGTGTGTGTGTGTGTGTGTGTGTGTGTGTGTGTGTGGCCAGTCTGCATATTCCAGAGGTGGTGGGTGCATGATACCCGACACCTCAGTGTGCCCAATCACAGACCCTGGAACTGAAGGGAACTCTGACTGCAAAAGGATTCTGTGGAAGTAGTTCCAAATTCCTGTAAAAGTCCTGAGTTTAAGTGCTGATGACAATGTTTCCAGTGCTCAAGGTTTTAATACTTAAAAATGTGAACCAGAGCAGTGAGTATCACTGTACTCATAGGCTTTAGTGCAAAATTCTAGCACTAAAACTCGCTTTAAGTCTCCAGAGAGAGCCAACTCTTAGTTGCATATACTTGAAGGAAGCTGAATTTTATTTTAAACGTGGCAAAATAAATCTACAGACTTTTAAAAAACCCAGTCAGCTATTCATTACTCATCACATGTGATGCTTTAGCTAAGGGTCTAGCAAGTGGCCACGTAGCTATTTGTCAGGCACTGCTGAGCAGGTGATCCCTGCCTGTGCTAACCAGGGGCTACAGTAATAATCCAGGCAGGCGTAGGACAACTTCAGGTAGTGCTGATTTCCTAATTACAGTTTTGTTACACTCGAATTCATTCAAAAGCACACAAAAGAGACAAGAGGAACAAAATGTGTGTTCGTGTTTTGCTTGGGCAGATTTTGGCTCCTAGCAGTTAATGCTTAAAGTCACATTAAGCATACATATAATGCTTTGTGACATGACAGTATTTCCCGTTACAGATCAATTTTGTAGCATGTGCTCATAATCATACATGAAATGTTACCTAGAAACAAAATATCTTTTCTTTGAAACAGTCAGACCCCAATAGAAATCTAAGGCTTTACAAATCACCAGGTTAACGGCAATGTCCCCTCCCCCCCAAGTTTTCTTTCCTGTGATAGTCTCACTCCACCCTATAAGCAGTAGGGTTCTCTGCTTCCCGACTGGTTTGAAAAGAGAAACTTAGAACTCAACATATACTTAGTATCTTCCTATGTTTAACTTAATAAAGCAACCAGTATTCCTTTTTGGGGGGAAAATAATGTTAGCACCTTTTAAGAGTGTTATGTTTATAATTAGATTATGAAATGTTATTTTCTCACCTTCCTTTAAAGACAGGATTTCATTGCTTAAAAAAAAAAAAGTGACAGTCTATTTCTAGGAAAGAGGAAAGATTCTTGCTTTTGGACCGACCACATAATCATATCATGTGGTCAAGCAAAGAGAACGTGTATCAAAATTTGGAAGAGCAGAATTTTGAGAGCCAAAACACCTAGATTTTGAGTTCTGACTTAATTACTGTGGAATGTTGAGCAAATTACTTCTCATTTGGGAAATGTTCCTTAATTTTTTACAGAATGTTTTTTTCCCCCTTGTGGAATATTTTCTGTGACTAAAGGTAATAACCTCTCATTAATTAAGCAAATAAAGACTAAGCACTTTTCATAGGTAGCCTGTACTATTGTAGGTCCTGGAAAGCAGTAAGTAAAGCCAGACCATTGACCTCATCGAACTTATAGTCCAGCTTAAGGACAGACCAGCTATGAACAAGATTTCAAATGGTGGGGTCAAGTTAAATGGTGATTCCACTTGTAAAGTGAATGTGACTTCACTTGAAAAAAATCTTGCAGAAGTAATTAAGGATCTCAAGATGAGGTTATCCTGAGTTACCCAGGAGAAGCCTAAACCCAATGATGTGTCCCTGTAAGAAACAGAGAAGAAATGGAGAAGAGGGAAAGATTGAGCTAACATAGCTAGAGATTGGAATGACGCAGCCACAGCCAAAGGAAGCGTTCTTAGAGTTTCCAGAGGGAGCTCAGCCCTGCCCATCCCTCCTCTTCATTCTCCAGACCCTAGAGTGGTAAATTTCTGTTGTAAAGCCACCTAATTTGTGATAATGTGTATGCAGCCCTCAGTAACATATAAATGGCAACGCACACTAAGAAAATATAACAAGCATGAGATAGGGACTTAAGAAGGAGCTGCTACAAATGGTGAAGTCTGGAATATCCCACTGAGGAGGTAGTATTTGAGCTACCCAAATGTGGGTGTTTTGAATCTAAGAGAGCAAGTGCAGATTCCCAGCCTGAGAGTGAAATGGTGTCTCTAAGAACCAGAAAGCCAGTGGGATGGGGCATGGGAGGTGGAAGGGAGAGGTGCTGATGAGGTTCCAGCTGGGTTCCTTATCCCAAATGAAACTTGTAGCAGAAACTTGTCTTAGTTGCAATGACCTACAAATTCCCTAATAGCATAGAGAAGCAAGCATACATTTTATCCAATAAGTAAACAGATATGTTCCGGACATGCATATTTGAAAAATCCAGAACCTTTATAATCTTTCTCCTGTAATTCCATCCCACTGTTAAATTCTGTAAGAAATAATGATGTCATCATATATATGAAGTTAAACAACACAAGTCACAATAGAAAATCCTCAGCGGATCCTTTATTTCATTCACTTCCTATTTAAAAGGTGGAATTTCAACCTGTAGCAGTTTTTTCTACCAGCTCAGTCAATGACCTGGAACACCCCCAAGATCCTAGTTCCATGATGTTAGAGGTCCCTAGGCAGATGCAAGCGTGTGGCTTCCCCGGGATGTTAAGGGCTGGTCTCCTGTCCTTGGCTAGCCAGCAACTCCTGCATTCCCAACAGTGAGCACCAGGAAATGGATTTTATCCCTAGTCACTTTTTCAAAGATCAGCCTTACCTCACAAGTCAAAAATTTTGCAAGTATAATGAAATGTTTACATTTCCTACTTCTTCATGACTGACATTCACCTTTTCCCTACCTCTAAAATTCCATTCTTTTTCACATTATCTTTCTTGATTGCTTATTATAAAAACAAAACAAAACAAAACAAAAACCCAAAGATGTAAATTTGTTGTGCACATTTACAGAAAAATGCAGAGGTTTTAGAAACCACTTACAGTAACAGTTCAGAACACATTGTCAAAAAGGAGCAGCTGAATATCAGACTTGCTCTGAAAAAAGCCTACCTAGAATGATATCACTGAAGCATCATCAGAACTCTCCCTCACGGATTACTCAGCAGTGATGAATATAAAAATTTGCAGATAAACACATAGTAATCACTCCATATCCTGCCCCCAACCCTCCCAACTTCTGAATAACAAAGCTTTTTCAAATATTCTTACTCTTTAAATGTAATGGAAAAAGCTAAAAAAAAAAATCATGTTTTAGCAGTATATTCCCTTAAAGCAATAGAGGAGTCCCTCCCATTTACCCAGATTTTAATGGGTTTTGAAAGCATTTGTACTGAAACAGTAATGATGACTATTTCTTAGTAAACTCTGAGTGAAACAGTTTAACCCCAACCTGAGGTTATAAGTTTGCTTTTGAGGGGGACAAACCACTGTAAGACAAGTATACAACCACCTAAGACAGTGAAGGAAGCCCTAGAACAGTCTGCCCCATGAGGGTGAGCCTAGATCAAAGTTCATCGTGATTTTTTGTGAGGTCTTCCCCGTAATTGGTGGCCTGGCTTCCAACAAACATGTTCCAGTTCTCCAAGATCTCCTCTTTAGTCAGCTTTTCATCCTGTAGAGGAGAGGAAGAGCGATGTTATAGAAACTCTGATTATCTTAAGATCAGCATGAAGCTTATGTAAATATGTAAACCTCCACATCTAATAATTTAAAAGCTGCTAGGTACCTCCTTTCTGAACTGCAAGACCCCAAGTTCAAACAGCTTCCTGCTACAAAAGCAACACTAAAGTATATCTGGTAGGTGCTGAACCCCACGTATGTTTTCAGAGAGTGTGAGCATCCCCCCAAAAGTGGAAGAATTCTGTTTCTCTTTTATGACCTGGCTGCAAAACTGTCTTTTTGGAAAAGGGATAGGGGGACTTATTAAATGTTATTTATGTGTTTGGATATTTATCAACAGATACTGAGCTTTGGGCCTCAGAGCCAGCAACGTGACCTTGCCTGAGGGTGCCTGGGTTTTCATGGGATGGCTTTCCTTCTGCCTGACACATCACACACTCCTGACAGTCCTCTGCTGACATTCACCAGTGATGGAAGGAGGAACGTGTCAGTCCCAGGGCAATGAAGAGTGTGCTTCTTAAATCCATGCCCTGTCCTTAGCAAACAATGTCACCAGTTCTACTGTCTAGGAGGTGGGAGTGAAAGTAAGCATGTGTCCCACAGATGACCCAGAAATGTCTAGGCCTTGTGAGCTCCCCCTGGCTTATCATGGTTTCAATTCAAGTTGAAAGGTCTTTACTGTCAGGCAAGAATGAGGAAAGTCAATAAGGACAGAGCCGCACTCGTCAGCGCTATCAGCAAAAAGGCAAACAGAGCCAATCTTATGGAAACCACCTCTCTCTCCAACGACCCACACAGGGAGCATGGGAGATACCTTGTTTTTGTCCGACTCATACACCAGGTGCCTGGCCTCAGCCTGCGCATGGTCATAGTCCTGAGGGAGGATCCAGTGGCGAATCTCATCTTGGTCCAACTTCCCGTCCTTGTTTAGATCCCGAAATTCATTGAACTGCTCCCTCTCGGACACAACCCAGTCTGGTTCGGGGCCACTCTCCTCGTGGGAGAACATATCCGCTGGAAGGGAATGTTGTTTGGGTTACGAAGACAAGTGGAAGGTAAAAGGCAAAGAAAACCCGACCTTATGCGTTTTTGCAAGGAGGATGAGCCCCCCCACCCCACCAGACTTAACCCCATCACCTGGGGTACAATTTCTTGGGGACAATATACTTGGCAGACTCAGAAGAACTATCGTGCCCCTGAGATGAAGTCTGGCTTTTGATTTAGTTCAGTAACTGGATTTAAATGACTTAGTTCACTGACTGAGTCTTACGAGGTAAACAGCACAGGGTTATTATGAAGATCAAATAGGACACTTTCTGTGGAAGACTTCTACGATCCATACTGGCACTAGATAGGGGAAAACTAAGAATCACGACCACTAAAACAGTATAAGGGACTTTCTGCCAGATCCTGTATAAGTGTCCTTTACACACACTGTTTTCATTTGATTTTTACTAATGGTCCTATGAATGAGCCATTGTTCTCCCCAATGTACAGAGCACAGTCCTGACCCCACCACACACAGTATGAGCTGGGGGTGACACAGGAGCACAGTATTCCACTTCCAACTCGCCTTAACCGCTCCTTATTAGTGTTGTTGTTAATATCATTTCCAAAGGGCTTTCACATTTTTTCATTTTACTTTATTCTTACAACTGTCCTTATTACAAAACGGCAGGGGGAGGGGAAAAGGCAGTAAATGAATGCATTGTTTGCTAAGTCACTAAAAGACAGGCACCCCATGGGCAGTTTGTCTTTCACAGAAGTACAACTTGGACATGTCAGGTGGCTGGGAGAGTAGGGACTGAGTAAAGGAAAGAGAGGCGGGACCCTGGTTCAGTTAGAGCCGATACACACCTGACACTTGCACATTGTTTTTTATTTTATTCTTGAGGAAGGGCCCATTTGTGCTTCATCCAGTCCTCAAGCATGAGTGCTATTTATTCCCATTTCACAGCTGAAGAAACTGAGGCTTATAGAGACTATAGGACAGCCCTGGAGGTATACAGTTAGTAGGTGAAGAAGCCAGGGCTCCAAATTCTAGTGTCTTCCTACTGTATCACATCACCACTGATGTTCCACTCATCTCTGCTTGAAGAAATCTCCTCCCCCCATAAATAAAAATCAGTCACTTGTTAAACAAGTCCACACAGCAGGCCACTCTGACTGCAAGCTGCTCCAAATTCCATTTAAGAACAATGACCCCACCTCCTTCTCAGCCAGTGCAAAGAATGGAATGCTTCTTCTAGGCAACCAACAGCACTTCAAAGAGTTTTGCCCGACTCTGCACTGTTTCAACAGAGTCCAGAAGGACAGGGAAGATCACATACTCTCAATCAAAATCAAACATCGTTCTCATCAGTCCGCCTTTTCTTCAGTCTAATTTCATCACCACTGGTAAGGCGAGAGGTCCGAGACTCAGAACCTTCCCTGCATGTGCAACAGGCAAGAGTGAGGCTGGGGGCCTACATGGACAGGCGGCCATCGACATTAGCTATGCTACAAAGGCAGCACCCCACGACCCCTTGAATTACTCTAGGGAGAAGCTACCTGTTACTGCCGCCAAAGAACAGCATCCAATTCTCTGGCATCAGAGACCCGAGAGCAGACACTGATGGCAGAGACTGAGGCTCTGGTTTTACTGAAAGCTACTGATTGCCTTGAGTAAATATGTGTACAGACACAAAGCTTTAGACTCTGCCAACCAAATAGTGGTTGGCCAGTGAAGGAGGGCAGGGAATGCATAGACGGGGAGAATAAGTTGGCAGTAGATGGTGAATGGACACTTGATAGCAGACTTGCTGAGAAAATGCCATCACAGACCCTATACAGCATTGAAGGTGAATGTCAGCTCAATAAGAACCACACTAAGAAACCTGTACCCCCCAAAATGCACAGAAATTTAATGCATACGTATGCATATGCATATATATATATATACTCCATCCCCCACATGAGTGTTCAGCTTCATTTCTCTGGGACTTGGGAAGAGCTGTCTGCTGCTGGAGCCAGGTGCCGAGGCACAAAGCAGCAGCTGGCGAGGAGCAGGGGAGGTTCCGAGCTGCCTGCTCCTGTCCTTCACGCCTGCAGGACTGCAGGACTGACCAGTACTGGGGGTTCTGACCCAGATATATTCATTTGAGTCACATTCAACCAAAGTTCAGTTACTTGAAAATGCACTTCTAGCTGGTATTTAAGTGGAGCCCTTTAAAACAAATGCTAGGTGCATACAGTACTCCCAAGGAAAGGGTGGAAACCAGAGGTGCTAAACTCCCTGTCTACTGGGGAGCACGTGTGTGTACTGTAAAAGGATTTGCCTAAGGCGGATGCCCTCCTGCAGGCACCCTCCATACAGCGTTGTTCTGCTGATGGTGTTTGTGCCTTCCCTGAGATTCCAGATCCTACAATCCATCAGGTTGGAGTCTTTTCCAAGGTTGTGCGCGCAAGCCTCACTATAAACTGTAGAACCTCCAAACTCATTTTGCAAAAGTCAAATTAGATGGACTGAAAGACACCTCTCGAGTGGCAGGGCCAGCTGCTGGCCAGGCTCGTGGCAGAGCCAGCCTTTGGGCCTCTTCTCCACCGAACGAGGCTTAATAATTCCCTGATGTGACATCACTGGCTGGGGTGACAAGTTCCTCCCCACTTCTTCCCCTCTGGTTCGCCACCATTCTGTCACACCCCACAAGAGTGACACCTACAGCTGTTGCTAAGAGTCATCTGGGGAGAGTGGCCAGACGTGAGGGAGAGGGACACTGCCCATGTGGGCCAGCTGAGCAGGACTCCAGGCGGGACTCACCGATATACTCGTCCTGATCCACAAACCCATCGCCATTCTTGTCAATGTCCTCCAGTGTTTCCTAGGAAGGGAAAAAGAATCACTATGGCTGTGTGCTCTCAGTAAATCTGAGAATCCTAGCTACTCTCCTCCTTTGTCCAGCTTTTGTGACTTGGTGACATCTGGCCTGTCCTTACCTCCCAGCATTTTCTTCTTATCTGTGAAAAATACAGTGATTTCTGTCCCTCCTCTCCCAGCCCACAATTTTAAGAGCAGAACAGTCTCTTCAAATAGACATAGACCTGTAAACATACAGGTATTCTGATTTTACTAGCAAGAACTGCAGGCCCAACCATCTTGTCTGAGCAACCAGATTATTCCCTGTGGTACCTGCGAGGAACCCAGGATGAGAACCACTGGACCAGATGACCACCAAGAGAGATTTCAAGGTCCTGTGCACCAGGAACATCAAGTTGATGTCAGGAAAAAATCAAAACGATGGCCAGTTAAAAAATAAAAGTATATCTGAGTTTTGAATGTCATTCTGTATTAATTTAAGTCAGTACACCTGACTTCTTAATTAGGTTTCTTGATAGGGTGAATAATTGAATTATGTTTACTGTCCACTGTCACAGCAAGTCAGAGGCATCCTGGGTGCAAGAACACAGCTAACCAGAGCCACATAAGCCCTTTGTGGATAATTCTCCATCTTCATCATCCTCTGCAAATAAGCAGTTGCTGATAGACATTGGGTGGTAAGAAGAGACTCCCAGAGTCACTGGCCCATCCGTGGGATCGCCAGGATATGAGGATGAAGCATGAGGCAAGGGGAGACCCATCGACCGACGGGTAATTCCAGCAGCCCAGAGCTGGTTACAAACAAAGCTTTAGCCACCTGTTTTCCAGCACTGAAACGGAACTCTCTTGGGAGATTGGCCCAGGAAAGAAGTGATGGCACTTACATTACTGCTGTACAAATGAGGACAAGACGCCGTGGAAAGCAATTACACTTGGAGATCTCACAAGTAGAGCTATCCCTTGAAGCCTGGGCTGAGACTACTACCCTGGACTCACTATAAGCAAGGCATAAGCTTCTACTATGTTGAGTGACGAGGAGCAGGCTACTGACTACAGCAGTCAGCCTGCCCTGCCACATTTGCTGAGTGGAGAGGTATTCCAGAGCATTCCACTCCAGAGTCCTCCAATCCTCTTATGCTGAAGAACATTCTCTCTCTGAAAGAACCCTCTGAAGACCCACCCCTAAGGGAGCACCCATCCCGGCCAGTTTTAAGTTTCTATTTGGCTTAAGAATCCAGTGGATTCCATTTCCATCTTTCTAGTTTCCTCAAATCTCAAAAATGGGCCAGAGATAGGTGCTACCTGTACCCATTTGCTGTCTGGACACATTTCAATTTCCCTGCCTCGTCTTATGTAGCAGGGACCTGCAGGTATCAAAGCAAGGGATGTGTCATTTTTGGCCAGAACAGACCAAAATTCTGCTTTTTCGTTCCCCCGTTTCCACCGTCTCCAGCTGATTGCTACCAGGATGACCTTGAAGCCACAAGATGGTGGGGGCTAGGCTGGGCACCTAAGAACCATCCAGGAGCCTCGTCTATGGAGCTGTGGCCACCTGCTCTGGAGGACTTGCTATAAGTCAGACATAAGCATCGATTGCACGGAGCAGCTAGAACCGGGCTTGCGATTACAGCAGCTAGCCTGCCCTGAAAATTCCCCTCCATAGCATAGTCCTTCTCCAGTTCCCTCGGGCTAAAGAACATTCTCTGTCTTGCAAATAGAATAAGAATTTACTTCAGTTTCCGTCCGGGTTGTTCCCAAGCTCGAGCTCTCTATTATCTTACCAAAACCACAATTTCCTTCATATGCTCAAACTCCTCGGGGTGCAGAAAGGCAGTGAATTCCTCCCGAGTGGCTGTCTGGTCCCCGTTGAGGTCGGCAGCCTTGAATCGTCTCTCGTCTCGAGGAAGCATCTTCTTAAAGGTGTGATGGTCTGAGCTATCATGGAACTCGGCGGGGTTCCCTGCATGAAGGGCACAGAGACGTTATTTCCTCCTTCATGCCCACATGGCACACTTGGGACAAGAGGTCCTGACCTGCCAAGTTCTGTGGAACATTTTATTCAGGTGTGTCTGGTAGCTGTCACTTCACACCCTCCCTAGCCCAGGCAGTCATGGCTTATGGGGGGGGATGATAGCAGGTGGTGATGCAGGTGTCAGATGTACACATGTATTTCTCCTGGCTATGCCTGCTTTCTGAACACAGAGAGGGTCCTTACCAGCCATGGTACTCTGAATGTGTCTGCCTGGCTATGAGTATGTGTATCTTCCATTCTCCTCCCTGTCTCTACCAGGTACCCAGTGGGTGTGCAGCCGGCCCTTGGCACAGAGCCTTCCATCATTCCCTCAAACCAGCTTGCTTCTTTCCAAACCCAGTCCTATATTCAAACCACTGACTGTATCGCAGCAACTCTGCTCCTACAGCTAGCCCACCTTTCCCACTCTTCTTTATCTCTTCCAGTATAAATCTTTCCTTCAATGCCCAGCTCCCAAACCACCCTCCACCTGAAAGCCTGGCTGTTCCAGCCCATTCTGTTCTTGCCATCTGAGACTGAGCAGCATTTGAAACTGTATACAGACATGCTCACTTTCTGCTTTGTTCTTTGAGTGTACCTGTGAGATCATATGCTCAGGGCGAGAAGTAACCTAAGCCTTTTTTTATTAAACTCTTGACCTCTCCCCTCCTCATCACCCATGATTTCAGAGCAAGTAACTTGCTCCTGTCTTAGTAAGGAGGGGAGACTGTTACACCAGCAGGTTCTACTGAAGAGGTGTGACATCTCCCCAAATGAGTGGATACAGTGAGAGAGTGGACAGTCTCTGGTGATGTGAACCCCAGCGTGTGACAGCTCCTGCAGCCCCCCTTACCGAGGTAGTAACCATAGGTGGCTTGTTTGTATTCTTCCCAGGAAATGTGATCATCTTTGTCCCGATCATAATCCTTCCAGACTTTAGCGACATTATCATAAATATATCTTTTCTGAACCCGTTTGATCCAGATTTTCAGCTCCTCGGTGGTGACAAAGCCATCTCCATCATCGTCGATTCGATCGACAATCTTCCTGTAGTCAGAAGAGAAAAGACCCAGAGACTCGTATTAAGGCTTATGTGATCCTGATCCAGAAAGGCCTGCAGAATAAAAAAATGCACCAATGTGAAAATCATGACCCCACGGTGCTAGAAAGGACCTTAACATTTAGAGTTAACTTAGGATGATACACCTTCTTCATCCCCACCCAGTGCCAAAGGAGGACACTACCCATGAAACATGCCCCAAGGACACCCAGCAGATACCAGATGTGCATGAACCATGCCTTCAGGCTGAGCCTGGGGATCCCTGTGGCTGCCAAGACTGTCCAACGCGCTGCAGACCTGGCAGCCCCGTGGGAATAATGGTCCAAGGACATCAAGAGAAACTAGAAATTGGGATCTGAATCTGGATCACCCTGATTGTAAATGCTGGCAAGGGTGCGCATTTTTCCTAGGACTGCATGGCCTCTTTGTGACTTAGGGTGGCCAGTGTGACTTTGCAGCACCACAGGGGCCTAGGAGCTGTCTGACCATTTTGAGGCCTGTAGGCAAGTGGTAACAGAGTGGTCCAGATCCAGCAGTCCAAAGTGGATATTGGTCTCCAGCTCTCCGCCCTCCCCACCGCTAGCCAGATTTCACTTGTGAGCAGCACAGCCACTGCCCATCCAGGGACCCAGTTGCCCGTCCCCTCCCCCCATCGAGGCAGGAGCAGACACTGCCACTGCCCCCTCCCACCTGCTGCCTGGACTGGTCATGCCCGTTTCTGATGTTCACGACCATCGCCCCCACTGTGTGGACTCTATCTGTGCCTCAGCTCTGTTCTTTGCTAGTCTGACCTCCCCACCAAATTTCTGGGGTGATGACATTTCCGCCTCACACAGCATAGCCTTAATCTTCTCACAAAGGTCCTTCCTGCTCTACCCTCGACTCCCTCTCTAATCCCACTTCCTACTTCTTCCCAGCTCAGCCAGCATCACTATTCCAATGCCCTTCATCTCCCCAAACAGGTTTCGAAACCTTTCTACACCTAGCAACCTCTGGACCACCCCACAAGCTCTGCTCAGATGACATCCCAACCCCTCATGTTCCTCTCTCCAAGCTGAAGTGCTAGGGTCTCCTCCTAGGGGATGTGGTCACTGCCAGCTTTCCAGGCTGCCAGCACAGCAGTTACGTGTGTGTCTGCTTGTGCTTCTCTCTACCGGGTTTGAATATAAGTACTTATATAAACTAAGCATAAAGTTTCCTTTGTCCCTACCAGATACCTAATGCCGTGGCTGGCACACAGTAGCCATTCAAAGGTTTATGGCATGAATAAATGAACTTAAGGTGTTTGAACAAGAATCCAAGGCAGACCAACTCCATCCATAGTGCACCTCTCGCCACTGCACTTACGGGTCATTCCGAAGGCCATTAAACTGGAACCTGTAGGATGGCAAAGGACCAAGATTCTCTACATCCTCAAATCTCCCCCTGCCCTGTGGCTGTTGTTCAAGGCCTCAGAGTAAATCCATTTCCAAGTGTTTCAGAGGAATACAATAGACTGAACTTCTTAATGGCCCCCATTGTTAAGTCTCAAACAAGAAGAGAAAGTATTTCTCTGCAAAATAAAAGGTGATTGTTTGGAGGTGACTTTGAAGTTCAAAGACCTTTTCATCAGAGCAGGCAGATGGTGCACCTACACAATAGGTATAATTTAGTTTCATACTCTAACCAACCACTTTGGCGCTGGCAGCCCCAGTCAGCACAGGGACGGCTGTGTTCTCTTTTATGCAGCAGGACACGGAGATCCTCCACCCCCAGGGGCCCTCCAGGAGGCCAGGTGCCCAGAAGGCAGGGCCTCTGGGATCCTCCCCAGCCCAGCCTCCATCTGGGACCAGGCTGGCTGCTGATTCTTCTGTGAAAAGGTTTCTAGATACCTCTGTACAATGCATGAGTGTCTCCCCAGGGACGATGGAGGGCGGACTGGGATGTTCCAACGTTCTGTTTCTCAGGTCTGGTTCCTGATCTACCTGCCTTCAAGAGTGAAATTCGAAATCCACCACCACACCACCCTCTAGCTTTTTGCCCTTATTTGTCAAAGGACGGGGTGCCTCTATAGACATGGCTGGAAACAAAACAGGGGGCCAGTTTCCATTCCCAACTCCCATTTCGTGTCCCCCCAAGCCCCTTCCCTCTTAACAGCAAGCTTTTTATAAGCTGACACCGTATGGACGGGGCCATCAGGCAGAAGGCAAGAACACCCCAGCCCCTTCACCTTTTAACCACTGATATCCATCCTATAGCGGTGTCTCAAGTCCTTACGCGACAGCAGAAGGCAGAAACTAGTAGAGTAGGGAAGAAAAGCCACCACCGACAAACTCTTGTGACACTCTCCCCTCCCTTCTGATGCAACCAAGAGGAGGGGGCGGGCCCTCGCTGTCCTGGCTCACGCGGCCGCTGCCACGTTCTCGCCGCCCAGCGGGAAGCACCCCGCACCCGGCGCGGCCGCGATCGTCGCGGAGAGGTCCAGGAGCAGCGGGCAACTTTGCACCGGCCGGACCGCTGCTCCGGGTGGCCCCAGCTCCTCTCCACCGACCCCCACCCCCGCCACCGCGCCCCATCCGCGCGTCCGATTTCGCTTTCGCTTTGCTGCTCGTTCCCCGCGTGGCTCCGGGCGCTCGGATCGCGGTCTCACCCCAGCCTCTCCTTGCTCTCCTCCGAGGTGAGCTGGTCGAAGGTCTTGGAGTCCTCCTTGCCCAGGAAGGCCTCGTGGTCGTACTGGAAGCTCTGGTTGTCCTCGGGCGGCCGCTCGCCCAGCTCCGAGTCGGGCCGCACCACGCGCTCCTTGCGCACGGTGGGCTTGGCCCGCAGCGCCCCGG